CATGTGTGTGAGGGGAGCATGTAACGGGCCGTGTGAGTGTGTAAGGGCGTGTGGGGGGTGTGAGAGTCCGTAAGTGAGGCGCCAGCCCCCTCCCCCTACACGTTGATCTTATTCGATCGGCCGGGCCCCGCCGGGCCGAGGTGAGAAGAAGGCGCCGCGAAGCCCCTGGGGCGCTGTGCGGCTGGGCCGGGCGGGATGAGTCGATCAGATAGGCGAGGCCCAGGGCACTGCCCCGGCCCGTGAGCGCCCTGCGATTCTGACCCGAGCCCGCGGCCACAGAACCCTGGGGGGGGTACCGCGACCGGCGGGGGGGACGCGGCCCTGCCTCGCCCCCCGGGGCCCTGCGGGGCACAAGGGCCTCGCCCACGGCCCCGGAGGGTCTGTGCGACACGGCAGGGACACCCCGGTGTGGCCTCTGTGGGGACACGGGGATGACCATGGTGACAAGGGGACAGCCATGGTGGTGACCAGGAGATGGACACGGTACTGACCAGGGGATGGTCATGGTGACAAAGGAACAGCCACCATGTTGACAGGGACAGTCGTGGTGCTGACCAGGGCACAGCCGTGGTGGTGACCAAGGGATGGCCACGGTGGTGACAAGAGGACAACTGTGCTGGTGACAAAGGGACAGCCATGGTGGTAACAAGGCCATGATGATGACCATGGAACAGTCACGGTGGTGACAGGGGGATGGCCATGGTGGTGACAAGGGGTTGGCCACGAGGGCACAGCCACGGGGTGACCAGGAGATGGCAACAGTGGTGACAATGCCGTGATGGTGACCAGGGGACAGCCACCATGGTGACATGGGGACAGCTGTGGTGGTGACCAAGTGATGGCCATGGCAGTGACAAGGGGGTGGTCACAAGGGGACAACCACAGTAGTGCCCAGGGGACAGCTGTGGCAGTGACAAGGCTACGGTGGTGCCCAGGGGACAGCTGCAGTGCTGGCACTGCCAGGAGGAGCAGCTGTGGTGGCCTTGCTGTGGGGACACTCCGAGAGGGGGGACACTGTCCTGGGGGGGGCTCCGTGTGTGAGGTGACACTGCAGACAGCATGGGACACGGCCACCCCCTGCCACCCCATCCTCAGGCCCGGGGCTGTCCCTGGGCTGCCCGGGGGACACACGTGTCCCCTCCCCATGGGTGCGTCCCCCGTGCCCACACTACCTGTGCCACCACAGACAGAGCTGGGACCCCCTGTCCCTCTGTGTCCCCATGTCAGCCGTGTCCCTCTGTGTCCCCTCTGTTCCCATGTCACCAGTGTCCCCTTATGCCCCCTTGGCCCGGTGGCCCCATGACCCTCTGTGTCCCTCGTGTCCCCACAGCAGCTGTGTCTCCCACATCCCTGTGTGCCTGTAGCCCTTGTGTCCCCTGTCCCCCATCTCCCTGTGTCCCTGTGGCCTCTGTGTCCTCACATCAGCTCTGTCCCTCTGTATCCCCCATGTCCCTTGTGTTGCATATCCCGTGTCCCCTCTATCCCCCTGTGTCCCCCATCTCTCTGTGTCCCCCTGTCATCCTCTCTGTCCCCTGTGTCCCTCATGTTCCCATATCCCCTGTATCCCCCATGTCCCCCTGTGTCCCTGTGGCCCCTGTGTCCCCCACGTCCCCTTTGTGTCCCCCTGTGCCCCACATCAGCTCTGTCCCTCAGTGTCCCCGTGTCCCTCATGTTCCCATATCCCCTGTGTCCCCATGTCCCAGTGTCCCCATATCCCCTGTGTCCCTCAGTGTCCCCATCTCCCTCTATCTCCATATCAGCTCTGTTCCCTCCCTGTGTCCCCCATGTCCAGAACACGTGTGTGTCCCCCCCAGTCCTGTCCCCTCCCGTCCCCGGGGCTGGCCCTGCCCCGCGGGGACACGGCCCGGGGGGGACACGGTGGCCACACGCCCGTGGGGGTGGGGGCGGCTCGGGGGCGTGGGGGGACCCGTGAGCCCCCGGGACCCCCGTCCCGGTGTCCCACCAGCCCCGGGGGGGGCGGCAGGAGGGGCCGTTCCCGGAATAACGTTCTGGGAATGATGCTTGGGGCGGGGCCGTTCCCGGGGATACCTCCCGAGGGTGATGGCCGTGGCTGTTCCCGGTGCCGGGATTCCGTTCCCAGGGATACATCCCAGGGGTGATGCCCCATGCCGTTCCTGGGAATACGTTCCGGGGATGACGTTTGGTGCCGTTCTCGGGGATGACTCCCGGTGCTGTTTCCATGGAAGACACTGCTGATGCCCGGTGTCATTCCCGGGATGTCATTCCCAGGGGTTCCATTGTCGTGTCTCTGTTCCCGGTACCAATGCCGGGTGCCGTTCCCATCAATGACATTCCCGGTGCCGACTCCCGGGCCCGTTCCCATGGCTGCCGTTCCCGAGGGCGATGCCGGCGGTCGTTCCCAGTACCATTCCCGGCGGTTTCGTTCCCGATAGCGGTGCCATTCCTGGGGG